TTGGGAATCGAGCAACTTCCTGTCTCTCAGGAAGCACCCCCCCCCCACATTGTTATTTCCAGGGCTGACGCATCCTCTGTACCACAAGGTGGGCAGAGCCCCCCCCCCCCAGTGGAAACAGGGAGGGACGGAGTGTCCGTCTGACTCATGCGAGAGACGGCTTCATGGGAGCTGATGGGAAATGCGGATTCGAGGCCAGCTCGGGGGGGGGGGGGGGGGGGGGGAGTAGGGTTCCGGAAAAGCCTGGACAACCCAAGGAGGTAGAAGAAACAGAAAAACCACATCCGTCACTCCGTTGGGGTTGGGGGAGAAAAAAAAAAAAAGTTGGTAAACAGGACAGTGAAGCACGTCTGCACAGCGCCATGTAAACTCTGCGGGGCACAGTCTGACCACCGCGGGGCAAAAAAGGCACAGCTTCTGAGCTTACTATACTGTATGAGCATGTATACATTACAGGCAGGATGAGCTTACTGACACAGGTCAGCAGGGGGCGACGTGGCCGGCGGCCGGCCGACACTCACCAGCCCCGCCTGGCCGAACAGCAGCTGCACAGCTGTCTTGCAGGGCCCCCTCCAGCTGGACGGGCACACCTGGTTGAGCACCTCGGTGGCGGGAGAGTCGCCGTCGCACAGCACCTGTCCGTTAGGCCCTGCTGCCTCCTTGAGGAGCTGCAGCATAGCATGCTGAGGGAGAGAGAGAGAGAGAGAGAGAGAGGGAGGGATGAGGAACTGACTGCCCCACCAGCAGGGGGTGTCAGACTTACACCTCCAGCCACCCCAGACCAGGGGTATCCCCTATCCTAGTGGCTTAATTCGTGTCTGCTGGTCTGTTCTAACCTAAACAAGTTCTAGAAACAAACTGACAATTACAAGATCCCCAACTACAGGCAGAAGCAGTGTTGTGGCCAGTAATTAACATATATTAACAAAGCACAGATAATTATTGTCTAATGGCTCACTGGAGTTCATTTAATTAAGAGGCCAGTGAAAACTAAAATAGAATATGGGGGGGGGGGGCGCACAAGCAGATTCACACAGTGAAAACCCGGAAGAGCACCAGCTGGAATTTTGAGGGGGGTGGGACTCGACAAGTAGGGCTCACGCTAGACCCCAAGGATGAAACCAAGGCTGTACCGTCTTGAGCTTGAGATTGTCGGCCGCAGACTCATTGAAAGAGACGCCCTTGAGAAAGTGGGGGCCGATCTGCAGCGGGATGGTGGGCAGCTCGCATTGGATGGGCTGAGTGGGGGTCTGCATCCGTCCCGCCTGCTGGGCCTCAGCCTCGCTGCAGCAGCCCTGTGCGGCATGGGAAGGCAGGGGAGGGTATAGCAGGGCACAGGAAGGCAGGGGAGGGTATAGCAGGGCACGGGAAGGCAGGGGAGGGTATAGCAGAGTACGGGAAGGCAGGGGAGGGTATAGCAGGGCACGGGAAGGCAGGGGAGGGTATAGCAGGGCACGGGAAGGCGGAGGAGGGTATAGCAGGGCACGGGAAGGCGGAGGAGGGTATAGCAGGGTACGGGAAGGCAGGAGAGGGTATAGCAGGGTACGGGAAGGCAGGGGAGGGTATAGCAGGGTATGGGAAGGCAGGGGATGGCACAGGGAGTCGCAAGAAGGTGCAGGTCACCTGTCAGTCACAAAAACCCTCTGTGTCATACCTTACAGGTTCTGTATCGGTTAACAGAAGATGCTTCATTCTTCACAAATGAAATCACAAATGAAAAAAAGGCCCAAATGGAAAAAAAATCTGAATTAAACTGTCCGTCATTGAGGTGGGGGGGAAGGCTTTCCATGTTATGAGATTCCCACCAATAAGCGCCAGGATCACAGTAATCATGCAAGCTGTAAGCCCGGCCTGGAGACAGGAGCCCACTCAGAGTCATACCTGCAGAGACTCCTCCGCAGCTTTGGGGTCAAGATGAAAACCAGCCTTCAGTGCGTAGTCACTGTGCCCCAGGCTCTCCAGCGCCGCCCTGTAGACCTGTCAGACACATTGTTTGGTGTCACAGGGGTTGCCAGGCTTTCTAAATGCAGCAGGACACCCATTGAGGCCACACGCTTTTAGAAACCTGAAACAGTCTGTTGAAGCTCAGTTGTGTCAGGGCTAATCTCTTTTCCAGAGTTACCGGGAAGGTGCCCTTTTCCAAAATGGTACCCAAGGCACTTAAGGCCACGGGAAGTTGGGGCAGTGTCACAGCACGGCACAGACGCGGCCCACCTGCAGGGCACTGTCGATCTTCAGGTTGAGCTCCTTCAGCTGCTGCTCCGGGATGGTGGGGCTGTGAGAGCAGAAGAGCTGCTGGACCTGGAGGCCTGCCAGGTAGCCGTCGCGGCCCTTCTCCCTGAGCCGAGCCGTGGCCTGAATGGCATGCGAGACGGCCAATTAGGAAAGCAGGATCTCCCACCTCTGCTCTGAGTGGCTGAAGGCCAAGTGGAGGGCGGGGAATAATGCAAACCAGCCAGGTAATCCATTTGCTTTTTAATTATCTTGCTTCATTTAAACTCCCGCAGTCTGCTTCCATCTACACTCTCCACATGATTTTTAATCTGCATCGCTGACACATGCGTGAGAGTATCTGTGGCTGTTGGCCAAGCAACTATGCTGCGTGGAGGTGGGGGGGGCGGGGGGGGCAGGCCAGGGGCCCCAGGGCAGACGGGCGGCAGCTGAGCCCCAGACTGGGAGATTATGAACAGTCTGAGGGCCCCTGCTCAGTGGGAATGGTGGAGATGCACAGACACCCCCTGCCTTAAAGTCACCATGACACAAAATCTTATTTTTCATTGGTTTGGGGTGGGGGTGGGTTTGGGGGGAAAAGGGCAAAGTAAATTAAGCTGGCCAGTAACAGCAAAAGGACAGAAATGTTTAAACAAGTACGGCAAGTAACTGAGACGAGCCATAAGGCGCAGACATCGAGACGTCAAACGCAAGTGTCTCGCTCTGAACAAAGGGCCGTAATCACACAGGACAGTGGGAAATTCACCCAAGATATATATCAAAGAAAGAACTGATGACATAAGGAGGAAAGAAATTACAATCAAAGAACTGACTGCAATGAACTGCAGTAAAGTCCAGCTCAGCCAGTGCGCTGATTGGCTCTTGATTACAGCTGAATCAGTGCGCTGATTGGCTCTTGATTACAGCTGAATCAGTGTGATGCTGAGTCACAGGCTAGTGAACCTCTGGCTGAAAGCCACCCCACCCTGGAGCCATCAAAGCCACCAGGCCGATGCTGCTGACGTACCTCCGCCGCGGCCTTCCAGGACCTCGAGGCCTCCTCCAGCTCGTTGAGCGACCCGGCAGCAGAGACATGCGGCCGGCCGGCCCCGCCCCCTCCGCCACGCCGTTCCTGGGCCTGCGCCAGCGCCTCCGCCAGGCAGGACTGCGCCACTGGCTGCACCTTCTGCAGTGCCTGCGACAGGAACTGGAAGTGCACCTGCATGACGGTGAGGAAGCAGCGGCCCAGCACCTGGTGGAAGACGGTAAGGTCACGGTCAGAAAGGTCTGAACTGATTTGGAGTCAAAGACCAGCCCTCGTTGACGCCCCCCGCAGGAGAAGAGCAGAATCACACTGCACGCCCAGAGGCCGCATGGCAGCAGGAATTTCCCCAAAAACTCAGACGCCTAAAATCTCACGTTATCCGCAGAATGCCTCACCAGGCAAAGAACAGCGCACATGGTCTCCACCAGTGGGCGCTCACATGGTGAATGGGGCCCCCCAGCAGACCGGCGAGGAAAGCAGTGGCAGGTGGGGCCGAACACGAGGCCGGCAGCCCCCCACCGCCGTCACCTCAACGGCATGCACTCGCCACGGAGCCCCACGCCGATTCGGCCGGGAAATGCAGCCCAGTGCAGGGAATGCGATGCTGCCATCACGCATGTCCCCACATGCTGAAAAATACCCCTCCCTTCAAAGGTGGTGGCCGGGGGGGGCAAGTCCCTCTCTGTTTCAAAGGGCAGGACACAATAGCTGAAATGGGGCTCATTATGCTCAGATCCACATTCCTCCCCCCTATCGCTGCTGGTGGGAGGGGGGATATCCCTGCTAATCTGCCACTGCGCCCCCCCCCCCCTCTGAGTTACACCTTCGCTTAAGCACTCTATTTATTCACCGTCTCGGGTTTCACGTTCCGCTGGTCGGCCTCGATCCCGAACGAGCATCTCTCCGCAGTCCTAGAACCTGTCAACTGACAGTGTCGTCGGTCCATCTGCCAGCCACACACTAGACAGATCACTAAGTATTTGGCATGCCACCACCAGGGCGGCGACAGTGAGTGGGGGTTTCGAGACTAGGCGCTGGAGGTCTGTCTCTCAATTGTGTCTCCCCCCCCCCCCCCCACCCAGCCAAAGCACAGCACTATTCATAGAGCCTGAGCACAAAGGCAGCCCTTTCACGACCAGACACACAAGTGCCCCCCAGACTCTGCATAATTACCTCTCATTTCACACTCTCTGGTGATGAGGGCACAGAGCTGAATCCTGCATAGCGCTCTGACGGTGTAGCTTTGTGGCAGAACTCAACACAGCCACACAAAGTGTCTTTATAAAAGAGTTAAGCTCATTCACCCCTACAGCCAGAGGGTGCATCGAATGCCAAAACATGAGCACCGTCGGATGAACCCCCCCCCCCAATCCCTGCTCCACCATCCAGCTACGCCCGTTTTCCAGCCAGCAGTGTAACGGTGTAAACTCCGCCCCCACATGATCCGGGCTGCTCCAGGATGTGAACGACCAATGGAAATCTCCTCTTAGGAAACTCTGAGCTGTGTGCAGATCCGGGGCAGTTACACGACCTCCATAAGCCCCGGTCCCTCTACTAAGGCACGGGGATCCGTCCCGCATCTCCTCCTGCAGTACTCCGCGTCTCCCAGCAGTGACCTACATTACCTCCCGCAGCGTTTTACATGAATAAACAGCAGAAGGCTCCCTTTCACACACTGCCCCTGTCCAATGAGCTGAGAGCATCTGCCTGACATCCAATCAAAAAAGCCCAGGACACACTCTCAGTCACTGGGAGACTTATCACTGTTCTCCATTAGTAATCATGCAGGAGGTCCAAGGATGAGGTAAATAATTATGCTTCTCATCTCCATGGCAACTGAAACAAATGACAATGATAGTGTATAGTAAAAACGCTGACGCTAATAAAAATAATAATAATAATAATAATAATAATAAATAATAATAATAGCAGCAGCAGTGTGTTTGAAGTGCTTCTCCGCTAGCTGCATGTTCTCCTCATAGCTAAGCAGACTTTCTAGGAAGAAAGCTCACTTTTTGTTTCCAGGCCGGGTGTCTCAGCAGGAGGAGGAAAGGGGGGGGAGGGGGGGTACCGGCTCAACATTCCAGCATTCCCTAAAGTTTCAAGCCCCCGCGCCTCTGCCCCCACCCATCCCACATAAACATTGCTATGCAAAAAAAAATAATAATCTCGAGCTGTCCTGAGCCCAGCAGTCTGACGCGAGCAGCCGGGAAGGCCAGGTTTCCGGCTCCTTCCGGTCCTTTCCGTTGAGCGGTAGAGGAGCAGTTTGAGGAAACCGCCCCCCCTTCTGACAGAAGGATGGGTGGGACACTATGCTGCTGGGTCTTGGTAGAGCTTCCCCAGACGCCCCCCCCGCCCCATCACCGTCCCCGGGTGTCTGTGGCTCACGCTTCGACATATTGCCAAAATCAGGCAGGCAAGCTGAGGTCTCACAGCTGCCCAAAACAATGGGAAACTGCATCAGCTAGGAAAAGGTTGGAATTACAGCCAAGAAAAACATGGCAGAGGGTAAGTGATAAATGAAAACATACGCACACGTGACCTTTGACCCCGACCCACATACATCTGTTATACCTTCTACACGGAGCACCTCTCATTTAGCTCTCACTGGTCCCTGTGTTGCCTTTGACACAGCAGACAGACCAGCCTAAAAGCCCCAGCGATTTCTGGATGGTACCCAGGGGTCTCTGTGACCGAGTTCTGGCTCGAATGTGGCCCTCTGAGGGGCCGGGGAGGACGGGGCCAGGCTCCTAGCTGCAGGGACACAGGGCTCGTCCCCAGGCCCCAGGTGACACGAGTGTCCCTGCTCATTATTGCATGTTCGCCTGCCCGTGTGCAGACTGTGAAAAATGCTGTCGCACTGTAAACAAACATGATGTAGAGGAGTGAGGAAAACAAGGTGCTGGCCAAGTAACTGAGCCCGGCGGGCGGCACTGGGGAATCCTGGGAAATACGCCCAGCTCCAACCTACCGGAGGCAGGCCAAGAACTGAGCAGTGTGACCTTTAGGACCGAGTCCAAGCAGAGCATGGCTACGTTTAGCTGGAAGATCAAGACATACCGCGACAAACATCGACAGCGACTGCTGGGGGCGTGTGTTCAGCGGCGGCCGAAGTCTCATGTGCCCCTTGTTGGGGGGGTGGGGGTGTTAGCAATGGTAAAAGTTATGGAAGGAGGTACCTCTGGATCTGTCTTTTTAGGGGCCCTGTGTATGATCCTCCATGCTACATTTCACCGGATGGGAATTATTTCTGAGCCCCCCTGTGCTGATAGGGCCCCAGACATCTGGCCCTGCACAGGGGGGTCCCCTAAGAAGATACCGCCCCGGGCGACTTCCAGTCTTTTCCCTATATTCCCTCTTCCCCCCTCCAACTTTAAAAAACACGCCCCCTACTTGCTCACCTAAGTATATATTGCTACAGCTGGGAGCCAAGTGTCGACTGGGAGTGGAAATGTCGAGTAGGAGAGTAGGTTTATCACAAGGGGCAGGGGTGTCAAACTGCAGTCCTGGGGGGCCGGAGCCCTGCGTAGCTTACTTATTTCCCTGTTCCACCACAAATGATTCAGCTCAAGAACTGTGTGGAGTTGAATCAGATGTGTTAAATGAGGGGAAACCCAAAAATGTGCAGGGCTCCGGCCCCCCAGGACTGGAATTTGACACCCGTGGGATATGGTATCAGATAACAGGCCCCTCTTTATAAACCCCTCCCACGTTGCCCCTCCCACTTCCATTGGGCTCCTGGCTGCGGCGATACGCCTCTCATCTCACCTCCACATCCTGCAGGTTGAAGTCGTCCTGGTTCTTGAAGCCGGCCGCCCCAGAGCTGAGCTCCATCAGCATCTTGGCGATCTCGGGCTTGATGGCGGCCGTCAGTCGGCCGGCCGCCTCGGTGACGTGGTCCTGCACGTCCTTGAGCTGCGCGGCCGCCTTGGCGTAGTGCGAGCTGCGGAAGACGCCGCTGAACAGCTCGGTGAGCAGGGCGCTGGCGCGGCAAAACACGTTCAGCGCATCCAGGTACTTGGAGATGCCCTGCTGGATGTCGGCCACGGCGCTGCCGGGGGTGGAGGTGACGCCGGCGCCGCCAGGGGAGGGGGGCGGGTGCCCGCAGCCGCCGATGGGGGCCGGCCCAGAGCATGAGGAACCGAGGTGTCCGCCGAGGGCCCGGCCCAGTTCGGGAATGTGGTACTGCTGGTGCTGCTGTACCTTCTGCTTGGACCCGCCAAGCATAAACCGCCGCTTGTAGTCCATCTTACTGTCCTGCGCGCTGCAACAATACATAGGGGACACAGCAGGTCTCAGAGGGGGGGGGTCGTCCCACCTGCTGGCTGCCTGGAGAGCGAATATCAGCCTCTGGGGAGCCTGCTGTGACACTCCCACACCGGCCTAAGCGCAGAAGGCCTCACGCCGTGCCGACGGGCCGCCTAAAGTCACAGTCTCACTGGGGGGCATTTTCCAAGCAACGGCAAAATCAGCTGGGGAGAAAAAGGCAGGGGAGGGGGATGTTGTCTCGCGGCCTGGAGCCGCCTACCCAGTGCAGCCGCGCCGAGATTCGGCCATCAAAAGGGGGGGGGGGGGTGCGGCGGAATCAGCCGCTCCGAGAGAGTCAGTGGCAGGAAACCTGACACCTTCTCCACATCACATCTGCTCTTGGGACGAGTCACGAGACATCCAGCGGGAGATCCTGAACACGGGAACAAGTCTGTGGGACACACACACACACACACACACACACACACACACAGATAAATTTAACTCTGAAAGTCAACAAAGGCTTTCCTGGAGATGGGAACAATGGTCAGCAGCAAGAGGAGGAAACAGACAAAAATGAAGGGGATTTCAGCAGTACGGTGTCTCTTCCCACTGACCAGACTCGCGATGCTCCTTCCTGGGGAACGTTCCACGCAGGCCCAGCTGGGGGGGGGGAGTCAATTGCGGTCTGAAACCAGTGGGGCCTTTGTTATTTTATCACAGGCGCTCCGCTCTCCCCCTCTCTGCCCGCTGAGGTAGTTTTCGCTGTCTCCGTGGAAACAGTTCCCAGAACCGGCGGCCTGTGGCGACAGAGCGGGCGAATATCCGTGAGGCCACTAGGTCATTTCCTGTGGGAGAAGGCGGGAGGGGCCATGTCAGGAGGGCAGGATGGAGGGAGGATGAGCAGAATTTGACAGAGGAAAGATTCACTGTATTGAGACCAAATTCTTCGGCTCCAAGCAAACAAGTCACATGACCAGGAAGGAGAATCCATTTCCACTTTTTCTCATGCAAGAACAGTATCTATGCACACTCAAGAGCACACATTTGAATGCTGACAAGTTTGTGCAAAAAAATTGCTTGTTGCATTTTCTTTAATTCTACAGTTGTATAACGATGTAGGACTTGTTATGGATAGGTATCATCACGATATCGCAATGGGTACACGTGCAACAGTCACATTGTGGAAGGATGTGATGCAAGAAAGATTTTTAAATAGCTAACACTGTTTAAGGTGCAGTTTCACAACCAAACTAAAAAAAATTATCCTTTTGACAAAATGATTGTCGGACACAGAACTGCAATCGTTAACGACCACAATCGGATGTTTCACCCTAACACTCTGCATGCACAGCGAACTGGCCTCAGTAATGCATGGATTCATAATGAAAGATCAGGAACGCGCTCTAAGAAACTGTCAAAATGTAAAAAGTGCTGTTATAAACGGCGATCACAAAACCCAAAAATATCGCAGCGTGATTCTTTTCCAATATTTTCTGATATCACCCTATTTTTGATGCCCTTGACAATACATGGGTATTGTCATAATACATAGATATAGAAATATTTAATTTACTAGTGCAAGTGCATCAATTAACAACATCCAGACCCAAACATTAGGGGGCGCTGCAGCATCCTTAGCGCCCCCCCTTTCCACGCCCTTGCACGCAGCCCTGCAGTGCCATGCCCTTTTATGGGGATGGGCGGGGCGATACCTATGCTAATTAGGGACAACTGGCACGCGCGTTCAATTTGTGAGGACAATGGGATTCATCACTGCAAGAACACATTTGCGAACAATTCTGCGGTTTAAGAACGTGTCCTGAATCTGACGTAGGTTTTTCTTAGGAACTTTCTTATGAACAAACTTAGGAAAAAACTTTATTATACTGGTGAATCAGGACCAATGTTTGCTGGTCAAAGAAAATACCGTTTCGATGCTAACGGACAAACAGATACATTTTATTCATACAAGGGCTAACCTGGTCCGCCACACCCAGGATTAAGGTACTAAAATGTGGCTGTTTTTTGGCTAATGTTTTTTGATTAGGTTTTCCTAATGTTCTTCCTGGACCCCCAATCTGTCTTTGTTCCAACAAGCCTCTAAATTGGGCTAAATTGAACTGTTATAGCTGCTGGCTCACACGGTGACACTGATTCACATTCATGAAGAGGTACAAGCTACAGATCTTAGTAGAAATGCAATTATGGGATGTTTCTTTTAATAAACAAAGGGGTTCATTAACAGGACTTAACATTCTTGTTTGAAAATAAAACGGGCATAATTTAATACTCAGTTTAAGATTACGTTAGTAAATAATTCAGGATTTATGAATTATTAAGTAATCCTTAATTAAAGCATGAATCGACCAATTTCTTTAAGGCTAGCAATTAATAATAATTACCCACTTTCAGAACAATCTCTCAAACATTTAAAAAAAATAAAAATGAAACAGGCATTAATGACCAGAATTTGAGATCGCAAGTGTTATGGATACAAAAAAAAGAATCTATATATAGATATATATAGATAAAGATATATATATCCCTTTAACCTCAACCCAGCCCTAACCTTAAGCATAAGTAACCAAGCAAAATAGTTTTTTGATTGATTCACAGTTTTATCAAATTGAGATCATCCTTCTTGGCACCAAAAAAAAGTCCCAACATAGTAAAAAGTTACAGGTTTTTATTATATTGCGGGGAAATCGAGTCCCCACAATGTAAAAGTTACAATAACGCATGTAGGCACTTACACACAGCAAACCAGAACACTGTTTCTCAGTGGGCTCAGCGTGTTAGTCTCATTGTAAAATGGTGAGCATGAGTGTGAAACGAAATGTCCATCAATTAACATTTGCACAAGGACCGTTACACTGGAAGGCTTCTTTTCAGATACCCAATCTTTCTCTCTTTTGAGACACAGACAGACATATATGTATAGTTAAGGTTGAGGCATAGGGTTAGGCCCTTTAACTAGTGTCTCAGGAGTATTTTTGGGAGGCTAAGGGCCTTGCTCAGGGATCTACCGCCAAGGCCAGGGCTCAGATCTGCAACCTGCCCATGTGCAAGGTAGCCCGACCCCAGAGATGGTACCCACTGAGCATGTGCGAGGTAGCCCGACCCCAGAGATGGTACCCACTGAGCATGCGCGAGGTAGCCCGACCCCAGAGATGGTACCCACTGAGCATCCTGCTGTTGGGACAACAGGGCTGTTGTGTTGGGATGAATCACCAGCAGTGGCACACACAATGCAGCCATTGAAACGCCAGTGGGGAAACGTTTGTGTCTCCGCCTTCTGTGGTCTGTTGTCACCATGCAAGTCTGCGTCACTCATTTGCATGTTGGGGAGGGGGTGACATTCCGTCGCTTAACGCAGTCAGTCACTTAGTCCTGATATCTAAGGGCACTTAAGCTGGCTCTCATCACCAAAACGCATTAACAAACTTGTCCGGATCAACTTGTAACTAAATTGTAACTAAATGTGTCAAAAATACACTGTTTGGGCAGAGCGCATGACCCACGTAAATCAAGCATTAGCTGAACTTTGACCTGCCTTGACACGGTTGGGTGTAAAAACAGCACGACGGAGAACTGGGAGGAGGCCGGGCGCAACGTTTCGGGATGGGCTTTAAATCACTGCCTTGGGCTGGGGAGTTTTTCCATTTATGTACAAGGGATGGTCGCCATAGTAATGGCGCGTGGCAGGGGGCGTGAACCAGCGGCGCGCCGGCGTAAGCCTAGGGCACGCGGTGACCTGTAGAAGCCCTTCACCTCACTGACAGTGTTCCAGCCACCTCCAACCCTGCCTCCTTCCCCCATCGGAAGAGATGCCCGAACAGGAACAGCGCATTTGTGGGTTATTACCATGTAATATAGTGCCATATAACCTCAAGAATATTTTTCTTGTAAATATAATTAGGCAAATGAAAAACAACGCAAGCGTATTTATTTTTCAATAAGGAATAATCGTATAAAATATAAATTAGAAATTTATGAAGGTTTCCAGGAACCGGTTCCTATTCAAGTGAGACACAAACCCGGCTTGTGTTTTTGTCTAAGCACAGATGAGCGGCGCCCTGTTGTCTACGTAGAGCCCCTCCGTGGGGTCGGAGCAGAGCTCTGCTGGCAGGATGGCTTGGCACTGGACATGTGGGGGTGCCCACTTTCCACTGCAGACAGGCCGGCAATGAGGAACCTCTCATACTTAATCGAACTTGCCATAACACGGGCCGTTTATGCCGGTGATCAGGAGGACCCCGAAACTGCTGAGCAACAGGAACGGAAACAGGAACAGGAACAGAAAGGGCAACACTGCAATTAACTTTAGCAAAGCTGAGCTACTCACCCCCCCCCCCCTCGAGACAGTCAGCATATTTGATTTGACATTTCACAATGAAGGGAAATTCAGGATGTATAAACAAAAATTAATTTAGAAAACTTTTCCTAGGATATCCTAAATAGTCAAAAAAAGAAGATACACTGAAAATTCCACTCTTTAAATTACACTAGCTGTCATAATAAACAGTCAAGAACCCTTGAATTATAGTCATATTATACCCTAATTCTCAGCAATAAAACATTAGTCTTAATTAATTCAGCGTTTAAGACTTGCTGAGGTTAGCAGTGTAAAGAATGGTTTCATTTACAAACAGAATGCACACACTACACCCTCTGAAGATCTCAGTACAGCTGTCTGAACCCAAGGCCAGGATGTGAGATCATCTCACTGTGCTCATGTGACGGATTCAAAAGCAGAGGATCATTCCCACAATCTGAACGTGTTATTCTGATGGGGGAGAGACTGCAAACCGTCCGTCGCGTGGCGGCGTCCATGTGCAGCCCACCTTAAACCCTGAACATCCAGCAACAGGCTCCAGGCCACAACTGCCTGGAGAAGCAGCTCAAACGTAACGCCGCAAACTCACCACGTTCAGTGTTACGGGTTCACCGTACGACAGCCTTACAAAATTAACTACAGCTCCCTTCCAGCGTCACTGTCTCGCTGGCACTCAGCGCTATGCTGTCCCTGTCTTACCTAATTATACAGATTCACATTTAACCACAGACATCCAGGTTAAAGGCCCCCTGGCCAAACCTCTCCTGAGACTCGAACCTCTGGGTTATGAATCCATGTCTTTAAATACTAAGATGCTGCCCCACATTTGCTCATTTATGGAGCAGAGATGCACTGAGAGCACACAGCCCACCTGCTTATGGTTACCACTTGGACTGTAGTCATACTGGACCAAGGGTGGATGTTCTACCCTTATAATCAATCACCTATCTGGCACTTCCATAAATTTTTTCACCCAATTAGGCCACTGAAGAGAGTCAGCTTAAGTTCCTGCTATATGGTACAAGAGTTGAACTTAAAGGAACTGACTGACCTTCGGATATGAAGCCATAGCTCGCCTGCTAATGCCACAACATCATCAGACAGGTGACCTCATGACCTAAATTAGAGAGCCCACCCTCCAGGGACATCCATTAACACCAAGACATCCCGTGGCTCAGTTCCACCAGCAACGGACACAAGGGAGCGTCTGAAAATTACACCTCGGGTGAACTGTGATTCTCCTCATGCAGGCAAACAGCTGTTGTGGTTTATTTTGAAAGGAGTCAAAGTTCAGTTTGAAAGAAAAGCTCTCAACATCTGGTGGCAGCAGAGTTGGGAAAAGGACGCTCTACAAAAGGCCCAAAAGTGGCCGTGCTTTTTGCGCCACTTTGACCCCTTAAAACAGAGTACAAAGAGAGACTAAATCGAGATGAACAGCACAGAGTAATACAGTCAATATCGAGAGAGGAGACCCAACAATCGGCGCAACTTCACTGCAGTTTCTCAAGG